AACGACGATCAATAGAAAAATGTAATGGCAGCCACAATTCGACTCCAAGGGAAATAAAACCATAAAAAGAAGTGAGTAAATCGACTCGACAGAGGTGCAACGGAATAGAAGATCCTTGGAAATTCGTGAACCATCCATAATTCATTCAACTCGAGGAAGGAATATCAAATCAGTAATAATCGAAGAGAAGCAGAAGAATCGATATCGAATCGACCGCTGAGCAAAAAACACTCGGAGAGATGGAAAATCTGCAACTAAAGATCTAAAAAGAAATCGCTAGAAATTCACCCAGAAAATCCCAGAGTCCGGTAAGCATGTAAAATCTAAACATATCGCCCAGAAAAACAAAAACAAAAAAAAAAAGCAACAAGAAGAAGAAAGGGAGAAAAGATAATCACACATAGCAAGAAATCAAAAGACAAGAGAGAACTTACACATGGTAATTGTCGGAAAAGCCTTGGAAAAACTTGAGAAGAATGCCGGAGGGTGAAACGAACATCGAAAAACTTGTAAACCTTTATTTGTCGGAAAAGCAGAAAATTCGAGAGCTCTGAATGCGAAAAGTGCAGACAATGGAAGGAGAAGGATATTTATAGAGGAGCAGAGAAACCCTAGCCTTTAGATTAAAGGCAGAACCAACGGCCAAGATGGTGCACGGAATACGAAGCGGTGGAGAGAGAAAACGTCTTATCAGCCTTCAAGCCCCTTTTTTCGAAATTTTGAAATTTGAAAAGGATTTAGACTTATCCAATCAATTCGAAATTGGTTGGGTAAACAAGTCGCTTACGAGTCTAGATAACAAGATCCGAGCAAAGACATTCAGTCGACAAAACTTACTCTTAAGCTCAGAATCGCTTCGAGTACTCTTTGGGGGGGGACTAGATGATATAGCCATACTGTCGTATAACGGTTTATACTATCAACAGTTCTGAGATTACCGAGTCGACTTAGCCAAAGTCGACTCTCTCCGTAGACTCCCTATAATATCTCCAGTTAGGGGTACAGGCATCTCTCGGTCGACTCCTACTTGTCGACTAAAATAAGTCGATTCCCCCAAAAAGACGGATAAGCGCATCAGGGTCTACCGACGACTGAAGATGACCCCGTCGACTCGAGTTGGTATCCCGAGTCGACTGAGAAAGTCCCGAGGCTCATAAATCCCCGACGATCCGATACACTTCGATATATCATAAGAAAGCTGTCAAGGATAAGAAGGAAGCTACTAAGGATAAGAAGGAATCTAAATGCTGACTAGGAGAGGGACGGAATGCGAACCGACCAGGGTATTTTGGACATTTCCAGTAAGTCGGCCAGGGCATTTTGGGAAGTTCGGGTTAATGTCTTGCTTCTATATAAAGGAGCTGAGGTAACCCCAAAACCCTAACTCCCATTCATTCCATATTCTCCTCCATTACTACTGCTCTCTGAGAGCCGTTCTGTAACACCCCACTTTGATTTTAAATAAATTCCGGACTTTTTAAATATCAGTGTAAAATTTTCAAAATCATTTTCGAAAATTCAATGGGTGTTAAACAACATTTTTCATAACCGAAGTCTTATCTGGGCTCACGGGGATTCATTACCCGATTTTCACAAACGGTTTTCATTAACCGAAACACATCACGAGACATAATACTCAACATGCATATATCATCAACCACAATACCCAACAATCTGGGTTCCACAAATTTTCCAAAACAACAAATCATAGGTTTTTGGAAAATATCATAATCAAGTCCCAACATAATGGTTCATAAACCCTTATTCATACGGAAGCGATAAACAAATAAAAACAACCGACCCACTCGCCTCTTCTCGTCACCCAGCTCCTGCTTAACCTGCATCGGCAAAGAGCAGGTGGGAATGAGCACAAATGATAAAGAAGTGCTCACTACTATGCACATAATAACATGTAAAGATGGTATGGTCGCAGCATGAATATAAATCAATCATCATCATGTCTCATCTCCTAACAATCACAACAATAACTCACTCATGTGCACATCTGTCATTAGCCGCGGAAAGGGGATGCTTAAACCCTAACGACGGGAGTGCGTGCCACTGTAACGGACACGGCCTTTCATTAGGTCTTAAGGAGACTTGCCTCGCAAGGGCAACCGTACCGTAACTCGACGGGGACAACCGTACCGACGGCCGTAACAACTCACATCAGTAGGCTACATGGTTCACATGCATACATTGATCATACCAACAAAACATTAAACAACACGTATGGCATAGACAATTTTATAAGTAAACCCACCTGGATGATAACAAGCGAAAGCACAACAATAACGGGTAGGCGGCGAGCTCGGCTCGTCAAGCACCTACATTTATTAAAATAGTCCTATAAATGACTATTCAACTCATGACCAACTAATCATAACAATCACTTAGTACAAATAAGCTCACATAAGCATTTAATCAAAGAAATCTCATTTTCGAAAATATCACGTACGTTTTTCAAAATTTAACCCGGTCAGTGTTTTTGAAATCAACATAACTTTCAGTACAAAATACGGATGAATATGATTCAAGTTGTAATAGAATCCTAAGAAATGCATCTACAATTCTTATGAAGACACAAAAAGCAAATAAGGTCTTTTACTAGGAATTAAATCATCAAACATTCAAAACTGAGTAGCAGTCAAAAATTGAGAACTTGTAACCGACCAGATTTCAGTAATTGCTAGATAACTGGAGCTACAGATATGATTTTAATGAGATTCAAAAACCAAGTGATAGCTAACTCAAATGTCTTCAACTTTGCTGAAGACTACATTGGCAAATAATCACTATATAAATTAGTTTGGATACAAAATATTTGATTTATAAAATCTGCCCGAGACTAAATTTTTATATAAACAGTACCTCGGTATTTGTCCTCTAAATCATGCTATAGACCTCTAAATTTCATGATTCTTGTATGCTTCGAAAGCTAAGAGATAGACCTACAACTTTTATGTAAAACACAAAAGTAGATAAGATCTTTAAAATGGTGTAAAAGCTACTAACATTTAGAATCAATTTTCTGCCAAAGTGTAAAACCCTACTTCATGTATATCTACAATCATATGAACACAACTCGAGCTATAGATATTACCTTAACATGCCTATCTCATTAGAAAGATAATCAACAGCCCTATAACTTTCATGAAGACTATAAATTCACTAGATCACATTATGACACTATAAACAGGCCAAACATTATATAAACTCATGC